ATAGGGGCGGTGAAGAAGTTAACCCAGAACCAATAAGAGATGACGGTATAGATTGTATACCACCTAGCCAAGATGAGGTCAGAGTATCAATTATTCTGATGAAGAACAATAAAGCAGCAATTACAACAATGACCATGAACTTTTCGATATTTCTTAGAAGTTATATATTTAATATGTGAGATATTTCAAAAATTGAGTAGCTTTTTCTGCAATTCACCTCTCGGTTATTCCTCTTCATTCATTTTTGACAGTCCCTTTGTGAACACTAACCATTTAAGATATTATTCAATTTCCCATAAAAATGTGTGACCTAAATTATCGAACTATTAATTACAAACATGTTTTCCAAGAAATCGTTATCACAATATGTTAAACCACAATGATATGATAAGCACCAAAATATAGATCATTTGTTTTTGTACAAGAATTTTGTAATTAACTTTTATCGAAACTTTTGAAAACTTTAAATGGTTTGAATCGACAGAAGAGGATTTATCCAAAGGAAGAATGTACGGTCTCCAAGTTCGGTTTTTGTCCCACAATTTTTTCGAACGCTATACAGTTTTCTTTCAATTTACTATATCGGCAAGAAAGTCTAGACTATCATTTGGCTTTTTTGGATAGCATGAAGGGAATATAATATTTTTTGTATCCGCATCAGGCGAGCCCCAAGCAGATGTCAAGTCAATTTGTTAACAATTTGCGTTGTCTCGGGTATTGAAGTCCGACAGTTAAGCTTTTTCTGAAAAGCTTCACATCCTATGTAGTTTAAATATTAGAACTTCTTGGAAATCGTGTGAAATCCATTTTTAGGTCATCGTTTTTGAATATGAAATCCAAATCCACAGCCACAATGATCACCACATAGAACGCTGACATGAAGCTGCCGCAGAGTCGATGGAGATTTGAAATTCGAAATTGTCATACCCTTATCGCCATTATTCCCCCGCCCAAGTACATCAGGAAAGATCTTCATAATCTAGAGAGAGTACTTATAAGGTGAACGTATATATTAAAATATCTATCAGACAGGTCTGATTAGTATTCATACCGAACATGTCGCCTAGGAAGTACTATACTACATCGCGGATCTTACAGATCTGTAATGCTCAAAATGGATGAAGTTTCCCAGTTCATACAATTCTTAATATTTTTTCTATCGGGCGGTTCTGCTCTATTAATGAAGGAATTGATAACCTCAAAATGGGTCAACCCAGCATTAGGGCAATTTAGGTTTGCAAATGGCAGTGATACGCAGTAAAAGAATATTTGGACCTGCCAGGCAGGCAACTCTTCTAATTTGAAAGACCTTGCGAAAGTACCCATGTTTAAGATCCATATACCAGCACGGGTACCGAGATATATAAAATCGTTTACTACCTCGAAGCTGTAGTTCTCAAGTTCCACAATTGGCCCGAGTGTACTGGACGTCTTACACGTTAATACCTTCTCGCCATTTACTGCCAGACCCACTTTGGCAGGCTCCTTTTCAATTTGTTTAAAGGTGCTTGTTATCGCTCGCAATGTTCGACCCATTATGTCGATGTCATCAGCGTAGGGGCGAGTAACATATGCTGTTCAGTACAGAGTGTCATTTCTGTTCATCTTTGACTCTCGTGTGACCTTTCAAGCATGATTTTAAAAATATCATAACCTTGCCTGAATCCTCGTTCGGTATTAAAGAGCTCCGATAGGACCTTTCAGACTTTAACTGCTGACCTTGTGCCAGTTAAAGTTATGCGGCATGGCTGTATTAATTTTACAGGAATGCCGAACGCAGACATGGCTTTAAACACCTCTGAACGGATAGGGTTGTCGAATGCGGCTTTATAGTCGACGAAGAGGTGGAATGTGTCGATGTGTTTTCGTGGGGTTTTTCAAGGATTTGGCGCAGAGTGAAAATCGCGTAAAATTGCATCATGTTTAAATGTAGCTCCCAAACCTCCCAATTATCGATATTATCGAATTTTCAAAGGAATTGGCGATAATTTGGTACATTGCATTTTTAAGGGACGGCAAATCCCGCTACAAAAAGTATGGACATGTTAAAAGCAATAAGGCTCCTACAACAACAACAAAAAGTAATCTATGTTGGTCCATTGCTAGATAGGGTCTACCAGCCTCCATATAAACATATCCCCTAATTTCAATATTGTTTCCACGGCATTGTATCTTCGGATCCGATATGAGTCCAACTCAACCAACGACTGTCGCCTAAACTCTTTGTATAAGAACAACAGGTTTACTACAGAAACAACAATATCTCATGAAAAAATTGTCTGTATAGGTCATACTTTCCAACAGCATTCTCAGCAGTATAATTTTAAGTGTGGTTAAAAAATGTTTTGTATCCCCTAACACAGTTTATTTCCTTTTTTTTTTGAATTAGAGAAGGAACTTTCATCCTTTCTTTGTTGGCTGATAATAACTCTTTACTCCTACGAATAATAATAAAAATATTACCAAATAATTTCTGTTGTATTTACTTACCAATCGTACAGCACCACCTTTTCCACGATTTTCAATCAGCTCCAATACACGAACCTTATCGGCGGTGTATCGTTTCGAGTACTTCAATGCAAGTGCCACCGTGCCATCAGAACTACCATCACTGACTACAATCACCTCATAGGTGAAATTGCCAGACTTGGATTTATTTTCCAAATACTCCAGACATTCGTCCAACATAGAAGGCACTGGAAATAAAAAAGGAAAAATTAAATGGGATTGACAAAGATTATGAAATCTATGAGTTTGGTTCCACTGATGATAAATTCCTTCATACCCAATTGCATACCAGCAGTGACGTAAAGGAGAAAAGTTCTAGTAGAGGATGTGCATGAATTGTGTATTTATTAGTAAAATTGCACCATAGTCACGGAATGTAGGTAAACACGTCTGTTCAAATTCTATCCACCCGCATTATTACAATCGAATGTCATCGCAACATGTGAAAGACTTTCGTAGAGCCATTAATACTCCCCCACAAATATACTTACTTCGCTCCTCCTCATTGTAGGCCGGTACAATGACACTTAAATCCACACTGGGTTCATCATCTATGCTAGGGAATTCAATCGTCTTCAATTTGTTTGGATCCAAAAAGGTTTTTTCTTGTTTGTGTCGTTTGATCACAGGCAATGGTGTTGTCACAGACTTTTGTATAATTGCAAGCTGGAAAGGAGAGCAGAATAAATAAATATGTTTACCGGGTGCACATTTGTTGGTCAATTGTAAATATAAAGGGAGGTGGTCGGTGCAACACTTACCGATAACAACAGAACCGTAAATATAACAGAACCGAAGAATGCAATCAACTGCAAATAATCTAAAAATGCCATATTCTCTTTTTTAATACTGTATGCCGTCAGTGTGTTTTCATTATTTTCTTATTATTTATTTTATAAGAGCGCCACGTATTTTTTCGTTTCCTAGTAATGAAAAATCTGTGTTTTTACTCATCAATTCTTATCACTTTAAATTAGGGATAAGTAAATCGACTTTCGACTAATCGAATTTTTGTATGCGTGGTTTTATATTTGTCGGGATCGGGATCGGTGTTGAGAGTTTCTCTCTTTTGAGAGAGTAATTAGAGTTGCGATATTATTAATTTTGTAACAAGCGTACTTTTTGTTCACAAAAGGTACGAATTGACATAAACGTACCAAAACAAAAATTTAATTTTTTTTATTATTCGTGAATACATTTACGCTTAAATTATAACATATGTTATTTATGCAAATAACTGATATAAATATTGGCCAATATTTCTCGATACTTATGATTTATTATCATTTGAAGTAGAATTTTAGGTACCTTTTCGTACTTTTTTGTTCCTACCTGTGGTAATGTTTTCCATCACAATTCACAATTTACCACTGAGAGAGAGAGAAACTCTCAACACCGATCCCGATCCCGACAAATATAAAACCACGCTATGACTTTAAACTTGAGTGCAAGGCGCTTTGGTAAGAAACAACGGCGTCAATAGATTGCAATGCTATTTGAAGAAACAGCCGTTGCGCTTGTCATATGTTAGTGGTTTTAGGGTTGCCAGTATATAGTAAGTAGATTAGTCGTTTTCAAATCGATATCATATAACGTTTTTTGAAAATTCAGTTATTAGCCTTGCATTGCACATTCCATTTAAAATGATCTATGTCAGTATGAGTATCAGTTTGAAGCTGTCCTGCTTAAAGGGGGAACACAAAGGAGGACTTCAGGATTGGCTTTTGAGAAGCTGAAAGATGATGACAAAAGGGTAGTAATTCAGTCATGTAAATGATTTTATGCCTTCTGCATCGAAACTTGGGGCATCGACAATGAAGATGTTCGACAGTTTCTGTTTCCTCTTCATCCTAACATAGACGGAATAGTCCACATCATGAATCTCTCGATCAGTCTGACTATGTCGACACCCGAGAATAGATTGTATAGTTCATTCAACGACAATATTCACCGTCGACGCAAAACGGCCCATAGATCTTTCGGAGAAATTTTCTCTCAAACACTCCAAGAGCTGCCTCATGCGTTTGCGCAAGTATCCATGCTTCAGATCCATATAACAGCATGGGTGTCTTGTAGAGTGTGAGTTTGGCCTGGCTAGAAGTGGCCCATAGTAGCATCTGTTGGCCATCACAATCCTTCTCCGAATTTCAAAACTGATGTCATTCGTTTTATTTATGGCAGTACCAAGGTACATAAAATCGTTTAATACATCGAAGCTGTAGTCTTAAATTTCCACAGTTGGTCCGAGTCTACTGGTCGTCTTACTCTTCTACATTCGCTCCTCGTATCGATCGAACGTGTAAAACACTAGACGATTGCCGTCCGTCTATCACAACATGATCGATTTGATTTCTCGTTGTTTGATCGGGAGAAATCCAGGTGGCCTTGTGTATATCGAGATGCTTGAATCTGGTGCTGCCAACTACCATGTTTTTTGCTGTCGTGAAGTCAATCATCCTCATGCCGTTTTCGGATTTTATTTCATGGAGACTGAATTTTCTGACGGTTAGGCCAGAGATATTTTCCCTTTCGATTTTACCATTAAAATTTCCTATCAGAATTTTAATGTCATGGGCAGGGCAGCGCTCATATGCTGTTTCTAGGCGCGTGTAAAATATGTCTTTGGTCTGTTTATCTTTGTCTTCGGTGGAGCATGGTCTCAAATGAGACAGATGTAGAAGAACTTCGCTTTTATACGGATTATAACAATTCGCTCGTCTACTGGAGTGTATCCAGAGACGAGGTCTTTTATTCTCCTGTTAACCATAAATCGGCAGCCATATTCATGTCTCGTTTTATGGCAGCTATAATACAGGGTGTAATTTACTTACGCCTGTCCCTTTCCATCGCATTTCCTGTAATGCAATAATATAGGCTTTGTACATTTTGAGTACATCCGCAAATGAGAAATCTGCGCCTGTTCTGTACAACGTGCGCACATTCCAAATGCAGATTCGCTGATCGTGGTTATCTATACGGGGGTCGCTAACATTAGAGGGGTTTGGTTTTCTTTTTCGTAGCTTTTTCTTAGTAAGAAGGGGTTTCCGAGTGTGGAACCCGACGCCTTAACTCATTTTTTATAGTTCTTATGAGTGAACACGCGGAACATATTAGCTTACTATTTCAATGGATGATGAAAATAGTTACTCCAGGTGACACCGCGGGGAGGTCAGTGTCCACAATTGAGATGAGAGGGACCAAGATAAGCCTGGGCTTCGCCATGTTAAAGCCAATCAGAGCCGTTGCATGGTATCTATCTATGGTAGATGGTCGAGACAAAAAACAAAGGTTTTTGTTTTGATACATCACCATTTTTCTTTATTAAATCATCTCCTTCCCGGCTAAGATACATCACCTTATTAACATGATTAAATCTAAATTATTACCGTTATTATATTATCGATTATTACACGTTATCGATTACTGATTTTCCTAAATGTGGCAACGCTCTCTTCCCTGAACTTGTTGTAACCGTTATGAATGTTCTCTGTTTATGTCTCTCAGTTGGCAAATTCGTGTAAACAAACTCTCGTATCCCCACGATTCAGCTCCCAATTTCGGCAGTTTTCGCCTGCCACCCACAAAAAATTAGTTTAGATACACAGCTAACATCATTTTTCGTGCTGTCCGTCAGATTTTAGAATTTTGCAAAAATAATATTTTTTTAATAATAAAGTAAATAAAACAATTAAATTTTTATTAAATTGTTTTAAAAGGATGTCTTCAAATTAATAAAAAATAGAAACTAGAAAAAATATGTGGAAATTAAAAATGTTATTATCGCGTCATCCAACGACGACCTTGCTTTTATCATTATTATGTTGCTTGTATGCGACCTCGAACGGTCAAATTGTGGGTCAAGCATCGGTCGGCGAACTGTATACATTTAAAATTGAACCATCGATGTTCAATTGGACCCATCAGGTGATTAATGAACAATTCCGCTATACACCATCGTTGAAATCATATCCCGATTTACCATCATGGATGCGTTATATGTATAGTCATGAACATCATGCCGGTTTCTTGTACGGGACACCACCAGCCCGTTTGGCTGGTAAGAAAATTACGCTGGAAATTGTGGCATTGAATAAACAAAATTATGAGACAAGAAATGCCCAACTGGACATAGCGATTGCTTCGAAGTTCCATGCTCCCAATGTTGTACAAATGAAAATTGACAACTTGAATTGGGTACATTTAATGGACCCTGGAAGGGTTGAGAATTTACGTAATATTTTCCGTAAAGATCTATGGCCGGAGAGTGAGGCAGATTTGAGTTTGGTTTTCATGGAATCGGCAGTGAATATGGGTGGACGTTTGCCGTTGAGGCCTCAACAGCATGAGGGGTAAAGTGTGGATAACTTTTGATAAAAAATAATTATTTAATAATTCTATTTTCTTTCCTTTTTAGGGTTATTGTCCACCTGGGTAGTTTTGCCAAATTCTCGGAACGCCTAAATCAGTTGCAGGAAGAAGTGAGACCCCTCTATAAACTGCCCTCGTGTACTTATAAACGTACCTCGGTACAGAAAATCTTTGAAAATGTTGGTTTCAAGCTGGATTGGTGTGCCTTTAAAATGGTAGGCACTGATTCGGCACCCGAAGTTCTACATCACAATCATGATTCGGCGGCTGCTAATGGCAATAACAATAATAATAACAACAATAGAGTTATTGGTCACAGTGAAATGTTAAATTTGAAAAGGCGTACAGATCGTTGGCATGGTATGGCTCGTGAGGATGTTCCCATACGAAATTATATTGATGAATTCGCTTTTGCCTTTGCCATACCGACAGTGCTCTTTGGACTGCTATGTGGTATACTAACGGCCACGTTGTGCTTCAGACATCAGAAATTGTGAGTATTGGTACTAACATTATATATATATATATATTTGTTTAAATCCACGCCTCTGTTGTTTAGTTGAAAAAATATTCTTTAAAAAGTCCCTTTTATTTATATTTTTTAATTTAAGCTTTATTATTTTTGTTTTATTTTAATTTTATTGTAATTTTCGTTTTAGACACGATCCAAAATCGGAATTCTTTTTTGATAATATTTTTCATATATGTGAAGAAGAGTGTTTAGAATCGTCACATGGTTCTGATACAGATTCTAAGCAAGAAGATCAAGAAAGGTGAATTTTTTATTTTGTTATCCTTAATTAACAATAATGATATATAGTAAATACATATTAAAATATAATAAAAAAAATTCTCCCTATATTTCCAGCTACAAGGAAACTTATCCCACAACATCATCCACGGTACAAATGGTACAGTATTCCGATACAAATTCTCAACCGGTTACCACTTTGAAAAGTCTTAAGGATCCCAATTGTCTGTTGGATAATACCAGTGTTCGCTCACAAAGGTATGTATGTTATATACAGCTATTCGGACTTTTGAATATTTTTGGGAATACAATTTTAAAATTGATTCTTTTCAGTCCCACCAGTTTCTATCAAACTGAGAGTCCATCTAATACATACCTAAGGCCAAAGCCACCACCATATAAGGGCGGCACTCTAACACGTAGCGGTGGTGTGGATATATGACAACCAACTTCGACTAGTCCACGTATTTTGTACTGTTAAAAGTGGGCAATTTCAAAAAAAAAAACAAAGAAGTCAACAAATAATAAAGAATTATCATAATCACATTTTCTATCAATAATATTTAAAATATATTACAATTATATCCCAGCATATCTACTATATGGATCATATATATACATATTTATTGTAGATGTTAACATGTAGAGATTATTGAGGTTATTATTATACTTATTAATAATTTTATAGATATCAATAATAATAAAAAATTGCTTAAAAAATTAGAAGAGGACTTATTTTATAAAGAATGTTTTTTGCAACTAACCAACAGAGGCTGGGATTTTATAAAGAATATTTTTTTTTGCAACTAACCAACAGAGTCGTGAATTTTATAAATAATATTTTTGTAACTAACCAACAGAGGTGTGATTTTTTTTAATTTCCATTTAAAAGACCTACAATTAGTTCTTTTGATAATGCACTAAAATGAACTAAATATGTTATTTTAGTTTTCTTGGGAAATGTTGTGACATCTGCTTGTTAAAAAAAAACACTGGTATCCTTAGTGAATTCAGGTAATTTCTTACATGCTAGCATACACATACATACATAGAAATCCTATACATACGAATAATGAAAGAAAAAAGGAAACAAAAGAATACTTGGTTTCTCTACCTAAAAGTATTTTTTTTTGTAATCACGGCATGTGGGATTCCTTATCTGTAAGTAGGATTAAGGATTTTCCAATTTTTTACACAGCAACAATAATACACTGAAATACATACACCTAAGTCTGTTTTTACACGGTCTTTTTGTACACGGTTTTGATATAACACGGTTTGAAAATTAAATATTTTTAATTTTTTTAGACGATTTTGTTCCATTCACGATTCAAAATGTTATGTACTTTAATTTTTTTTGTCAAATTTAATTTTTGCGAAGTATGTTCATATCACAAAAAAGTATTTATGAAAGTTTGAAACCATCGATAGTATCGATAGTTTGCGAACACTAGCTTAAAGATTTATGTGAATTCCCCTGTAGCACGTACAAAAAATTTTTACTGGTCTCTTTATGTATAAGATCAATTTCTTTTTTTACACGGCTTGTATCCTCCACGATACTGTGAAGTATGTTTTAATATATTCAATTCAATGAGGATTGATCTATTATAAGTTAATTAAATTATCTTAGCCATGTTCGTCTGTTCAAAACGCGATAGAACTCATAATTGTCATATTAGTTAATCGTCTTTTCGTACATGTATTGATTTTGTTTATATTTTGGTATAATCTCATAGTAAGTTACCGGCGATTTCGAAACTTAGTATTACTTTGTCATAATCACAAAGATTGCCCATGATTGGGTACTTGGCTCCCTATTACGACTATTGAAATGCCTCCTAATTTTTTGGAAATTAAATGAGCACCCGTACAGCATCGTACTGCAAGATTCTACTATTTTTTACTACGATAACAAATGTCCCTTTAAGAAATCGGAAAAATAGTAAATTCTAGCAGTACGAGAAGAGACTAATAATATATAGCAACCTAGATTTGCGTTCCCGAACTTTTCAAATTATTTTGTATTCTGAGAGCGATTTTGGAATATTTCCCTTTTAATAGCTTTACTATTAAAAAAAGTACTGGAACAGACCATTTTACATCATTTACATTCAACAAACCACTTACATTCAATTGAGCTGCATCTCCCCCTTTTTTTAACTCAATAACATAATTATAACGAATAGGGGAAGAATAAAGTATTTTAACCTGCATCCTACTTGTAATAAAAATATGGAGGAAGCGCAGTGAAATATGTTATGAATAAAAACAATTATTATAGATTGAGTCGTTTATTTTGGTTTATTTATTTAAATCCGCTTTTTCTTATTTTGAGAATTTTAAAGATTTGGTTTTAATTTTTAAGTGATATTAATTTTGTATGTAGCATTATGGCCTTAAACGTGATAAAATATATATCGTTTAGTAAACTTTTCTAGAAAGCCAAGATATGTATCAGAATCTAAAATGGGCTTAAACCACTTTCAAAATAAACGACTCGATAAACGATTGATGTTTCCTTTTTCTCGTGGCATAATTATACAAGGAGTGTCCAATTTTTTCATAAATTTGCCTTTGAATATATCTTCCTTCGAAATGTTGGCATAACATGTGTTCAGTGGCATAAATTGTTAAATAATTTATATTTATAACTATAAAAATTATAAATATAAGAGGCAACAACCATGGTCAAATATTGAGAGCAATGTTCAGCTTTAGAAAATATGTTTTGTTTAATTTATTGAAAATATTGAATAAGGTGTGGATGAGAACCACAAGAATATTGTAGTAATCTAATTGTTTTCGATATTCTCCTTAAAAATGTTCACGACTTTTTTGAATACGAAAATAGACCAAGATATTTTTTAAAATATATTTTATTATCGTAGTAATACAACGAATTCTTAAATGATAATTGAAGACCACAATGTACTTAATGGTATTTCAAATCTGATATTTTTATAACCCGCACCTCTAGTTCATTAACATACTAATATTTTTAAGATAATCTCCTCCATTTCCCAAATATCATGCACCCAAATTAAAATACAAATATATTAATTGTTCATATCCGCTAATTGCGGAACTAATATCTACATTTTATTCTAATACATCTTAGACTAAAGAATCGACAAAAGTTTTTGTTTAACATATGAATAAACATATCCAACATATTATTATAACTGCATTTAATCAAATACCTAAATTAGTTAAATCATATTTTCATTGTCTTCCTAAGTTACTCCAAGGTGTTCGTTTTCTTTTCAAGTCGTCTCAGCAAAAGAGGTTATTTTCTTTTCCCTTCACTGGATTGTACTTCGTTTGCACTGATAGGCACCAAATGGTTTAAATCTGAAAGGATTATGAAGAGCAGGGAGAGGGATTCTACATTTTTTTTTATTACTGAAACATTAAATTATAAATTACCTCGTTGAATCTAATAAGTCCTTTGTATTAAATAGAATTGAATTAGTTTTCTTCCAGAGAATTGCCACAGCTTCACACAGTAGAATACAAACACGGAATGTGATGCTGGAAGATGCTATTGCTTGAAACTCAAATTGCTGAAAATGCAGTCAGTGGTTGTACAGCTGATAAATGGCAGGTTACTCAAATACGTAACGTATGTATTAATTAAGTAACGTACATATTGGTATAAGATGTTCGCTTAAATTTTAAATACTGTGTTTACAAGGGACACAACTGAAATGTTATGGGAAGTAATGAATACGGTTTATTATAGTACATTTACATTTTACATTTCGTTAAAATACATTGGGTTTAAATTGCCAATTACATTACATATATAATAAGTACACATAAAGTAGGTTAACCGGATAAAAGTCGATATATACAATACAATAAAAATTTAGGTTAGGTTGAAAAAAGGGGTGGTTTACACTACCACATGTCCAATAGTAGATCATACACTTCTGTCAGTGAAAGGCCTATTGTGTGCTCTAGAATAAGAGGAAATTTAGAAGAAAATCACCTTTGGATTTTGTTATCCCTTAACTTCTATAAATTCGCTGGATTTGGATTCAAAAGCAGGGCTGCGGCATAGGAAATGTTTCACCATTTCTATGTCCCACGGAATTCACATATACATATAGGTCAGCAACGTATGCAGGATTTCATTTCGGGGGTATGAATAGGTGTCCGATTTTAGCCCGTATGTACTTTGTTTTGGTGCGGTCTATTGTGTCCGGTGTCAATCCACACGTTCATAGCTTTAAATCGTTCATAGCATTAAGTCATTGGATGTATATTCTATGTGGTCTCCAAAGTTCTTTTTGGTGTTGTCCAGTAATATAATAAAAAAATAATTTATTAAAAAAATGGCAAAAGGTAAAATTTTCCATAGTCAGCCAGGAAGCCGGTTGATATTCTATGGACATTTTATCAGTCCTCACAGCTTCCCGTAAAAGTATGTTTGTAGAATGTTTGTAGAATGTTCCTTTGAAGTTTTGAATGTTCCTTTGATGTCACGTCTCCCACTTTTCAATCACAGACACCGACGAGTATACATGGCTCTCAATACTTTTCAAAAATCCCCAAGTGGAGTGTTTAACATATATTTGCTAATTCCACCCGTGCTGTGGTAAAGTCTAATGCACCAAAATAATGGATCATATGGTACACAATCGAGTCATATGGTACATAAAAAAGTATGCGCACCCAAAGTAGTATTTATAAGTATTCTGCGAGGAAATAGATGTGGTATATCCAACAAACTGTGTGTTATACAGAGGATTGAGGAAGTCTTCCTCCTTACAGCCTAATTGATCTGTTACACTCGAGATTTCTTGGAATTACAAGTAATAAAAATAAAAAAACATGGACCTACATAAAAAAGCGCCTGCTAATTGATCTTTTATACTCTGAAGAACTGGAAATATCTAAAATGAGGTGAAATTATTACAAAATGTTTTTTGCTTAACCAAAAGTCCAGTAAAAGAGAGTGAATTGAGAGAGCGGATTTGATAGTTGTATTACTGAGTATTTGCAAATTCTTACAAGGAAAAATTTACTCAGTAACAATTTTCTGGTACCATCAGCTGTTATTTAGTCAGCTGTTTGCTGTATATTTTGTAAAGAAATAACAAAATTGTTCTCAAGCAAATTGATTGTTTTGTGTAGCATTAAACATTTTGATTTTTTATCATTAAACATTAAAATGGATAAAGAAAACGCAAGTATTAATATTCAGCATAAATTTTCCGCTTGTTTTCCATTTTTCTAATAAAAATGCTGCTTTTTTCTTTGCGCCAACTTGTTTGTTGTTTTTATCAGCTGTGTCGATACAATCTATTTACTCTATGTTGTTCCTTTGTAATTTCTCACTTGAGAACGAAAAATTCGTATTTACTCTCAGCAAATTCTTACTGAATAAATTATACTGGGAAAAACTAACGAACCTAATTACGTGGAAGCTATGTCAAAACAAGAACCTACATTGAAATTTCCCGGCGA